ACCAGCAAGAGGTACAGGGGCATCAGGAGTGTCCGAAGAGTGGTCTAAACACAAGGCAGGGTCAGAATGGGGTGCGGTATCAAGAAGGGGCCCGGGGGTAGTGGTTTCATGGACTAGGGCTGCCATGGTTAGGTTACTCCTTTGCTTTTTGTTTTTTAAGAAAAAAAAAAAAAAGAAGAAAAAAAAATAAAATAAAAAAAAGAATAAAAAAAGGGGGGAGCGGGGAGGAATAGTTCCCAGGAGGAATGAAAGGCCGGAAATCCCCCCCCGCGCCCAAGAGGACTCGACACCGCTAGTAGCGCAGATGCAGCATGGAACCCGTGCCATACCCTACCCTTCATGCCAGTAAACCAGCAATCTGGGATAGCAACCTCACATCTGCCGAGCTACCTCGTTTGGGCAAAAGAGAGGGCGGCCGGATATCCGCCACAAAGCATACCTCCTTCAGCACCACCCCCGGAAAACCGAAAGGTGGCTTCCAGAGATACACCCGCGCCCAAAAAAAACACCCAAAGCTACTCCGAGATACGGAGAGGGATCGGGGGCATCCCCAGGCAATCCAGATTCCACGGCAAACTACGCGACCGCCAAGAAACCTCAACGGAATGGGATGGACCCCGGTGTCCTTTCCCCTACCTAGGAACTAGTGCGCCTGTGGGAGAAATCACGAAGGCCAAGAAGAGGAAGGGCAAAAGGGAGGGGTGAGGAGGAGGAGGAGGAATGGAAAAAGGGGAGGATGGGATAGGGGAGGGGAGAATGGGGGGTAATTAGGTTCGGTCTGAGGAAGAAGACCGACAGGGCTAATTCCTCAGACCAAGAGCCTCTTCACCACGCCAAGGAGCCCCCCTTGAAGAGGGGTAGATATCCAGCATTATATTGAGGAACAAGAGACTTGTGCCACAGAGAGGCAGTTTTGTTCAGATGCAGCTCTCTGAACAGCAGCCCATTTTCTCCTATATTGCCGCAAGCACGATGCATTTCATAAGGTTTACAGACCTGGGTCCTGTCCTACTCTGCTGAACTTTAAAATTTTACAAGTTAGCTAATAGGCAAACCCATCTCGGATTTCTTGCAACCATAATTATCAAGTTATTAATAATTAAAACTAAATGCTAAACCCATCAGGGTCCTTACTGTAGTAGTAAAGGTATACATCTCAAGGTGGAGAAACAGGCAACTCCACCCTTTAACACTTTCCAAATGGATAATCAGAGGCTGTAGAATCCCTGTAGGGATCATAAAGCACCTGTGGTGGGGGGGGGGGGGATATTATACATCACCTGTGGGGAACGAGGCCTGAATGCCTCATTCCCCATAGGTGCTACTAGGATACTTCACACTTCCCATAGATGGATCTCTTCATCTTTCATAAGTTGACTCACGAAATCGTAATGACACGATTGCAAACAAACCATACCACAGATTTTTTTTTTTCATAAGTTATACTACCAAAAGAACCACATACACATCTTTTACTGACATTTCTCATGTCTTCTGTATGAAAAATGATGCATGAATATAAAAAATCAACACGACAATGCATGAGTTTTTATTTTTTTTGTCCAGATCAGCTTTATAATCATTAAGTACTGATTACATTCAATCATGTCAGTTAAATAATCTTTTATATTGTAGTGAATATTTTATTTTTGGAGATAGACATACACTGTAATTTTTTTAACTACCTATATAAAATGTGGTTATAATAGACTTCATTCAGTATATAGCAGTGAACATATCACATGAAACAACTTAAGCCTTCATACTCTTGGTAGCAGTCTGAGTTTGAGGCTTTCATTTCATACAAAATATACCAAGCATTCTGAATTTTTGTTGTTTTTACTGAATATAAAAAAATAAACATTTGAGCAATACTACAGTCTAATGCCATCCACCAGGCAACTGTTAACACCAATATTTATGAAATTCAAAATACTTGATAGACTTTCATCTCATAACTAAACTTTCATTTTAAAGTAAGAGAGAAGATATTTGGAGAACTTTTATATGTACAGTATATACAGTACAATACAAACTAACTTTCAGTACCCGACTGAATACTACGTAAACCTAGTGCCAATTTTAATATTAAAAATTCTCCAAATAACCAACAGGTATTGTGTTAGATCATTTGTCTGCCTACTGCCCTGAAGAAATATATACGTATTCCAGGTTTCATGAAATCATTGGAGTACATTTTCCCTTCAAAATTTTCAATATATATTTATATATAAACTAATATATGACCACTTTTTTTTTTTTTTTTAGTTTGTGCTATGTATTCAAGAGAAGTAATGTGAGGCCAAAAATATTCATGAGCTACAATGTTTCTGTATTATGTTCTGTAATACCACAATATTTACATTAACGAGAAGTCCAATTATATGAAGTTGCAGATTAATCATTTTTAAAATGATTAAAGTACCTGGTTTTCATTTATTACTGAAGTAATGTGTATGTAGATTGATTTAATTTGTTAATGCCTTAACCATACTTCAACCCCCCCCCCCTCCCTTTTTTATAAATAATATAGTAAAGCAAGCAGGTAAATAGATAAACTAATTTGCATTTGGTGAGAAGATATTGTGGTGCATGATAAACTGTTTGTACTATAGAATATCCACAGGTTTATATGTCTATCTGATTAACAACAATCTACTTGGTGCAAAATCACATTGTTACATTTGACACCAAGTAATAATGTTATGTAATGTGTGGCTTTGATACTATTCATACAGCAACAGCTAAATAAGAATGCCTAAGGGTCCTCAAGTGGTATATAATTTTGCCTAAATTTATGTAATGTGTGGCTTGGAGTAATATCAAATACAGCACACAGCTAATAAGATGCTAGGAACTGGGATTCGTCTTAAATGTCATAAATATATTTTAGTCATCAAATATTTTATATAATGGAAAGTAAAATCTTCAGAAAAAATAAAGCCAATTCACATGTCAGTCAATATTTTGTGAACTTGATGTTGGAAATTCTGGAGATTTCAAGTTTTACTGTTCTTTTCAAGTATGATTAATCGATTATCAACAAAATTATATCATGGAAATTTAAAATTTTTCCCTTTATATTAGAATAAAATTACCATGACTTAAAAACCCCAATAATATAAAGATTTTTTAGTGCAAATTCCTTTTAGAAAAAGCAAATTCATAAGCTTGTATTTTTTTTCATTCCCCAACTCCAACTGTTTAATGTAATGTGTAAATACTACAGCTTGGTTAACAAGAAACAGCAACATGACCTTTATTGGGTTTATGCAACTCTAAATGTACAAAATTACAGGACTTAAACCTAAGCGAGGGAATACAGTATACAAGGTTTCCCCCTAGTTCATACAACATTTACTTTTACAAAAATAATGAAAATTCCAATATAGCAAAATTGTAATAAATGTATTTAAATAACATTCTCAACATGCCAATGTTTTTAATTAATGTTGGTAGAATTACTGACTATGTTAGGTAAAAGGACACTAAGTGCAACTATGTGACCTTTTATTGTGGCAACCTTTTGCTCTCCAGGAGCTTGATCAAACTGTTACCAACATTACATGGACACAGGGTATATACAGGCCTAGAGCGAGGTGTAATACTAGTAGTAGTAATACAATGTGGTACTACTACAACTAACATTACTACTACCATCCCTAGTATTACACCTCACTAAGCCTATATATACCCTCCGTGTCCATGTATTGCTTGTAACTGCTTGATAAAGCTCCTGGAGAGCGAAATGTTGCCACAATAAAATGTCACATTAGTTGCACTTGTGTAGTTTTACCCAACAATATTTTTAACTCTGAGCAAGTACCACATGAGGTCTGTTAGTTATCCCCTGGCTTTAATAACCAGGGTACTGTTGGGATGAATGAGTATTAAACTGAAGTCTTGGTTTTTTTAACCTAGATCACTGTTAAGTCTTCAAACACACACTGAGCAAATATACAACCTACATAATCCACTCAGACTAATTTGCACTCTAGCCACTTCACTTTTCTTCCATAAAACTAACCATTCTGATTAAAAAGTCACAAGGCATGGATTGCCAATATGATGCTATAGTAGTACACTGTATTTAATAAATTAACATTTATCAGCCAATAGTTCAACCTGGTTCTCTGGCTTGTACAATTCAGTAATCCCTATCAAGAATACATGTACAGTTTGGTAATAGTACTTTCTTCAGCTGGAGGACAATTGTAACTATGGTTGGCAGAAAGGAAAGATGTCTTATTCTGTGATATGCACTGAACACTCTTTGGTAAAAATAACGATTAAACTGGAATACTGGGAAACCTGAACACCCTAGGTTAACCTGGACCCTTCACATCTATTTGACAATACTATGTACTATGGAACAGTAAGGTGGGAAAAAAATTTATACAAGTCCATAATTATATTATAATCAATTTAAGCACTAAACCCGATAGTCCATAAGGGAATCAGATATTGAAAATGTGATATTACTCCTACAGAAACCTCTCATGAGCAGTGACATAAAAAAAGTCCAGGCTGGGTGATTATACTCTTCAGTATGGAGGCATGAAAAACATTAATTTTATATATTATATATATATATATATAATACACACATACATACCCAATTCTTAAAAATAAATAAACATTTATATTAATACAACAAGAATGGCACTACATATAATTACACAAACATGACTGTTTAGTGAACTATAAATAAGAATACACAACTGTATTGGAGAATTCAGCTACAATAATGCAGTTTACCCTTCATTAATCAACTTGTACTACCAGCAAATAATTTACTGATAAATAATTTCAACATCTTTCCTGTAAAAAAAATTTCCTTGCAAGCTTTTAATATCAACAGCTCTTCAATTAGCATAATTATCATTTAAGATATTTTTATTTGCTATAATTAACCAAAATGTCAAATTGCTTTGAAAATACTTAAATAAAAAAAAATTACTAGTTTTAATGGTCAGAATACATTCCCTACTGGTACACTGCAAATACCCTAACCCTTTATTATCCTAAATCTCTCTTGAATGACGAACACACAAATTACTGTATATGAAAAAGTAAATACACTGTACAGTATATATTGACTAAACCATAAACTAAACAGAAAATTTATGGTCTGAAAAGCATATGATTGAAATTACATAAAACAAAGGTATGCTGAATTGTGCTCAGTTTTTTTTTTTATATTTTAAATTTACTTTCTTAAGCTTCATATTATTGTAATACATACTTAACCATATGCAGAACCTTAAATATGTATAAATATACAATAAAGACAAGCTGTAGATCATAATTCTCCAACCAGTTGACAAAACAAATCCTCCAATACCCAGAAAAAAAATCATCCTTCAATTGGTGCCCTTATTCAAGAATTTCAAATTAAAATTCCAAGTTTCTAAATATCATGAACTCGTACAAAAGCCCTCTAATAAAGACACAACCATTTGCAAACAACCTGTGTGCTGACAATCCACTAATCTAAATATTAATGAAATTCCCAGGTGGAAATTTTAAAACAAGTTTTGTAACATTTAAATAGACTTACGGAGTTCACCTGTGTCACATTACAGAGTATATACCAAGATATGTAAGAGAATTTAGACAAGACAATTTGATCTTATACATTTGATATGTTCTGTCACAATGCTGGTTCTTCTACTGGGCAACCTATATTCATTTATTTAAAAATACAAAATTCTTCAAAGGAACTTTTATATCAGAAAAGACTGGTTATAATATTTCCCTTGCATGCCAAACAATAGACAAATGCACAATTTTGTACATTCCCAGTCAAGATTTCATTTGCTAACCTGGGTTTACCTTGGCCAGTCATTTTTATTGAAGTCCAATAGTACTCAATCCTAATAGTTACATACTTTATTGCTTTTGCTTGCTAGATTTAACATTTATCCTAAGATCTTCAGAAATCATCTTACCAGTTACATGCCAATCTCATTCATATAATGTTCATAAAGCTGCCAGCAAATGTATGAACACTTGCCAGGCACAAATTCTGTACCAGATGTTCAGACTTACCCAACAACAATTGCTCATTCATTCTTGTGTCACTACCATGAGCAAAACTGTGTAATTGGGTTGCTTACTCAGGAGAGGTTTCACAGGTACCTGGTAATATTTAGCTACTCCTCACTGCTCCTGTTGAGTCTCGCTTCCATCATCCTGAATAGTCAACTGGACAATCTTCTTGCCAGCAAACTCCACAAATTCTATTTCTTTGCCTTCACTTACACTGCGTTTCTTCATATCTGTAAATGTAAGATACATTTTTAATAAATATTTTAAGTTTTAAAAAATGAAAATAGGAACAATTTTTTTTTTTTGTTCTTCCAAAAACTAATACAACTATAGTGAAAGTTTCTGAATTGAGAATGGACGAGGCAGTTTACAGCAAATAATTTATTATTAGCAAGGCCTTTCTTATGCTGATACATATTTGAACTGCAATCTCTGTTGCATCAAGGGAGGTTCCTTGAAGCTGATGAGGGGCTCTTGATCCAAGGAATTGAACTTAGTCCTCTTCTTTGGATCAAACCTGATTGTCTTCAATTCCCCAGTTGTTGCACGACCCATATGGATTTAGTGCTTCACCCAAATAATCCATATTTGTGCAGTTCTGTATTTCATCCTGCTTTCATTTATTTTGTGTTGGAAGACCAGCAAATATTTTTTGTACAAACTAGTGCCTTATTTATAGTATTTGATTTCTTGTTCCATGGCCTTATAGAGTGAGAGAGAACCTTAACTGAAATATTCCTCAGAAATTTCGAATGCTTTAAAGACCCTTGATGAAGGAACTGAAAGTTATTAAACTTCATGCTGATGTGACTATCTGAAGCTGTTGCCTCTTCCAATGAGACTTACAAAAAATGACCGTACAGCAGTATATACAAGTGAGAGTATAGAAGAAATAAGGAAGAGTACACAAGGGAATAAATTTTTTTTAAAAACATCTTAAGTAAGGTGATAAAGTATTAATTCTAGTGTTACTCCACATTGTGCTTCTAAAAGAACATTACATATGGGGGGCAATAGAATGTAACCTGCTTATTTATTAATTAACTTTATGTAGATTGTAGAGTTCTTAGGGGGAATGAAAATGGGAAGGGGGGGGGGGCTGGTGACTAACCAAAATTTCATCATTATGTATTATTTTTTTATTTTTTTTTATTATCACACTGGCCGATTCCCACCAAGGCAGGGTGGCCCGAAAAAGAAAAACTTTCACCATCATTCACTCCATCACTGTCTTGCCAGAAGGGTGCTTTACACTACAGTTTTTAAACTGCAACATTAACACCCCTCCTTCAGAGTGCAGGCACTGTACTTCCCATCTCCAGGACTCAAGTCCGGCCTGCCGGTTTCCCTGAACCCCTTCATAAATGTTACTTTGCTCACACTCCAACAGCACGTCAAGTATTAAAAACCATTTGTCTCCATTCACTCCTATCAAACACGCTCACGCATGCCTGCTGGAAGTCCAAGCCCCTCGCACACAAAACCTCCTTTACCCCCTCCCTCCAACCCTTCCTAGGCCGACCCCTACCCCGCCTTCCTTCCACTACAGACTGATACACTCTTGAAGTCATTCTGTTTCGCTCCATTCTCTCTACATGTCCGAACCACCTCAACAACCCTTCCTCAGCCCTCTGGACAACAGTTTTGGTAATCCCGCACCTCCTCCTAACTTCCAAACTACGAATTCTCTGCATTATATTCACACCACACATTGCCCTCAGACATGACATCTCCATTTGCCTCCACCCTTTCCCTCCTCGTTTGCAACATTCATCACCCACGCTTCACACCCATATAAGCGCGTTGGTAAAACTTTTACTCTCATACATTCCCCTCTTTGCCTCCAAGGACAAAGTTCTTTGTCTCCACAGATTTCCTAAGTGCCCACTCACTCTTTTTCCCTCATCAATTCTATGATTCACCTCATCTTTCATAGACCCATCCGCTGACACGTCCACTCCCAAATATCTAAATACGTTCATCCTCCATACTCCTCCCTCCAATTTCTGAAAATTCAATTCTTTCATCACCTTAATCTTTTTGTTATCCTCATAACCTTACTCTTTCCTGTATTCACCTTTAATTTTCTTCTTTTGCACACCCTACCAAATTCATCCACCAATTCTGCAGCTTCTCTTCAGAATCTCCCAAGAGCAAAAGTGTCATCAGCAAAGAGCAGCTGTGACAACTCCCACTTTGTGGTGTGTTTCTTTATCTTTTAACTCCACCCCTTTTTGCCAAAGACCCTCGCATTTACTTCTCTTACAACCCCATCTATAAATATATTAACAACCACGGTGACATCACACATCCTTGTTTTAAACCCCCTCTTTTACTGGGAAAAATTTCCCTCTTTCCTACATACTCTAACTTGAGCCTCACTATCCTCGTAAAAAACCTTCACTGTTTTCAGTAACCTACCTCCTACACCATACACTTGCAACATCTGCCACATTGCCCCCCTATCCACCCTGTCATACCCCTTTTCCAAATCCATAAATGCCACAAAGACCTCTTTAGCCTTATCTAATACTGTTCACTTATATGTTTCACTGTAAACACCTGGTCCACACACCCCCTACCTTTCCTAAAGCCTCCTTTTTTCATCTGCTATCCTATTCTCCGTCTTACTCTTAATTCTTTAAATTTATAACTCTACATAACCTTTACCGGGAAACACTCAACAGACTTATCCCCTATAATTTTTGCACCTCTTTTTATCCCCTTTGCCTTTATACAAAGGAACTATGCATGCTCTCTGCCTAATCCCTAGGTACCTTACCCTCTTCCATACATTTATTAAATAATTGCACCAACCACTCCAAAACTATATCCCCCCCTGTTTTTAAACATTTCTATCTTTATCCCATTCAATCCCGGCTGCCTTACCCCCTTTCATTTTACCTACTGCCTCACGAACTTCCCCCACACTCACAACTGGCTCTTCCTCACTCCTACAAGATGTTATTCCTCCTTGCCCTATACACGAAATCACAGCTTCCCTATCTTCATCAACATTTAACAATTCCTCAAAATATTCCCTCCATCTTCCCAATACCTCTAACTCTCCATTTAATAACTCTCCTCTCCTATTTTTAACTGACAAATCCATTTGTTCTCTAGGCTTTCTTAACTTGTTAATCTCACTCCAAAACTTTTTCTTATTTTCAACAAATAACAAAAAATAGTAAGCTCCTATAAGTTGAGTAATCATCCCTTTTTAGACATTTGCTGTGTTCATTGTTAAGTGAAAAATACATACTTTAAAAAAATTTATATACTTCCAGTTTGTCTGTCATTAGGTGTAATATATAAAAAAAAATTCCATGTACATATTCATTTAAAGAAAAGAATAGAGTTGAAGGCATGAAGTATTATTAAACATGGTGGGGCTACCAAATAAATTTAAAATTGATACACTTCTTAAATTAAAAATTATTTACCATGAGGATAAACACGTTCTAGGCGGAAGGTGGTGAAGTTGGCGCAGTATCTAGCAATGTGTGTTCCAAGAGTGTTGAAGTCCTCAACTGGTGGGTAGGTGACGCGCATTGTTTCACGAACCACCTGAGTATCTACATTATAGTAGCCTGTAAGGTTAAAAGAGAGTGCTATCAAGCTAACCATTTCCTACTCTACCTGGATATTTAATGTGTAATTTTCCATATTTTTAATCTGTAATCATTTAACTTAGGCCTTGCAATATACTTAAGTCTGTTGTCTCCTGTTTAGCTCATCGACTTACATTTCTCTCCTATTTATTATCAACACATGCACAAATATTTTTTTTTTTTGTAGTAGTAGTAGTAGTAATAGTGCAAGAAGTTAGGTTCTGAAAAGTTGTCTGAAGAAACAGCGCTGTATGACCCTAGTGGATTTAGAACTTCTTTTTCATTATAATAATAATAGTCTGAAGAAAAGCATTGTCATCCTCAAAATTTGGTGCATAATGTTCACTTAATTCTAATTTTTGCAAGCAGAGAATTCAAAAGTGAAGAGTACTTATGCTCTTGCACATTCCAACTGATAAAGAAAATGAACAGATAATGACATATTGAACAGAAATAGCAATGAAAAATAGTTTGAGCATAAATTATTACTTGTGTAACCTTGTGGCAGAACATCTACAGTTTTATATTCACATCTTCAGTGTATTCAGCACTTACACCTACCCATCCACATCTTCTTAATAAGATCCAAGAGGGTGCGAGGAGGCAGAACATGGTCGTGGTCGAGAGGCATCACATAACAGCGACCATAGGTAAGATCAATGATGCCAGTCTTGTTCTGATTACAAAAATCCAGAATTATTATTTAATGCAACAAACAAATACTTTATTTCCACAACATACATAGCTTTTTATATTATCTGATGACAGTAGTACACGTGGAAAGCTCTTAGTTATGCAGAGCATTTTGGACAAGGTAAAATACTAATAATTTAAAAAAAAAAAAAAAAAACTTCCATCATTCACTCCATCACTGTTTTGCCAGAGGCATGCTTACACTACAGTTATAAAACTGCAACATTAACACCCCTCCTTCAGAGTGCCAGCACTGTACTTCCCATCTCCAGGAATCATGTCCGGCCTGCCAGTTTCCCTGAATCCCTTCATAAATGTTACCTTGCCTACACACCAACAGCAAGTCAAGTCCTAAAAACTAATTATTTTTTTTTTTTTTTTTTATTATCACACCGGCCGATTCCCACCAAGGCAGGGTGGCCCGAAAAAGAAAAACTTTCACCATCATTCACTCCATCACTGTCTTGCCAGAAGGGTGCTTTACACTACAGTTTTTAAACTGCAACATTAACACCCCTCCTTCAGAGTGCAGGCACTGTACTTCCCATCTCCAGAACTCAAGTCCGGCCTGCCGGTTTCCCTGAATCCCTTCATAAATGTTACTTTGCTCACACTCCAACAGCACGTCAAGTATTAAAAACCATTTGTCTCCATTCATCCTATCAAACACGCTCACGCATGCCTGCTGGAAGTCCAAGCCCCTCGCACACAAAACCTCCTTTACCCCCTCCCTCCAACCCTTCCTAGGCCGACCCCTACCCCGCCTTCCTTCCACTACAGACTGATACACTCTTTAAGTCATTCTGTTTCGCTCCATTCTCTCTACATGTCCGAACACCTCAACAACCCTTCCTCAGCCCTCTGGACAACAGTTTTGGTAATCCCGCACCTCCTCCTAACTTCCAAACTACTAATTCTCTGCATTATATTCACACCCACACATTGCCCTAACATGACATCTCCACTGCCTCCAGCCTTTCTTCCGCTGCAACATTCATCACCCACGCTTCACACCCATATAAGAGCGTTGGGTTTAAAAATATACTCTCATACATTCCCCTCTTTGCCTCCAAGGACAAAGTTCTTTGTCTCCACAGACTCCTAAATGCACCACTCACTCTTTTTCCCTCATCAATTCTATGATTCACCTCATCTTTCATAGACCCATCCGCTGACACGTCCACTCCCAAATATCTGAATACGTTCACCTCCTCCATACTCTTCCCTCCCAAACTGATATTCAATCTTTCATCACCTAATCTTTTTTGTTATCCTCATAACCTTACTCTTTCCTGTATTCACCTTTAATTTTCTTCTTTTGCCCCCACCCCACCAAATTCAAACCACCCAAACTCTGCAACTTCTCTTCAGAAACTCCCCAAAAGCACAGTGTCATCAGCAAAAAGCAGCTTTTGACAACTCCCACTTTGGGTGATTCTTTATTCTTTTAACTCCAAAGCCCCCTTGCCAAGACCCTCGCATTTACTTCTCTTACAACCCCATCTATAAATATATTAAAGAACCACGGTGGGAAAACACACATCCTTGTCTAAGGCCTACTTTTTACTGGGAAAAAATTTCCCTCTTTCCTACATACTCTAACTTGAGCCTCACTATCCTCGTAAAAACTCTTCACTGCTTTCAGTAACCTACCTCTACCCATACACTTGCAACATCTTGCCACATTGCCCCCCTATCCCCCTGTCATACGCCTTTTCCAAATCCATAAATGCCACAAAGACCTTTTTTTAGCCTTATCTAAATACTGTTCACTTATATGTTTCACTGTAAACAAACCTGGTCACACACCCCCTACCTTTCCTAAAGCCTCCCTTTTTCATCTGCTATCCTATTCTCCGTCTTACTCTTAATTCTTTCAATTATAACTCTACCATACACTTTACAGGTACACTCAACAGACTTATCCCCCTATAATTTTTGCACTTCTTTTATCCCTTTGCCTTTATACAAAGGAACTATGCATGCTCTCTGCCAATCCCTAGGGACCTTACCCTCTTCCATACATTTATTAAAAAAATTGCACCAACCACTCCAAAACTAATATCCCCACCTGCTTTTAAACATTTCTATCTTTATCCCATCAATCCGGCTGCCTTACCCCCTTTCATTTTACCTACTGCTCACAATTCCCCCACACTCACAACTGGGTCTTCCTCATCCTACAAGATGTTATTCCTCCCTTTCCCTGTACACGAAATCACAGCTTCCCTATCTTCATACAACATTTAACAATTCCTCAAAATATTCCTTCCATCTTCCCAATACCTCTAACTCTCCATTTAATAACTCTCCTCTCCTATTTTTAACTGACAAATCAATTGTTCTCTAGGCTTTCTTAACTTGTTTTAAACTCACTCCAAAAATTTTTCTTATTTTCAAAAAAAATTTGTTGATAACATCTCACCCACTCTCTCATTTGCTCTCTTTTTACATTGCTTCACCACTCTTAACCCTCTCTTTTTCTCCATATACTCTTCCCTCCTTGCATCACTTCTACTTTGTAAAAACTTCTCATATGCTAACTTTTTCCTCCTTACTACTCTCTTTACATCATCATTCCCCAATCGCTCCTCTCCCTCCTGCACCCACTTTCCTGTAACCAAACTTTGCTGAAACACTCTAACACTACATTTTTAAACCTACCCCATACCTCTTCGACCCCATTGCCCATGCTCTCATTAGCCCATCATCCTCCAATAGCTGTTTATATCTTACCCTAACTGCCTCCTCTTTTAGTTTATAAACCTTACCTCTCTCTTCCCTGATGCTTCTATTCCCTTGTATCCCCTCTACCTTTACTCTCAGTGTAGCTACAACTAGAAAGTGATTTTGATATATCTGTGGCCCCTCTATAAACAAGTACATCCTGAAGTCTACTCAACAGTCTTTTATCTACCAATACTAATCAACAAACTACTGTCATTTCGCCCTACATCATATCGTGTATACTTATTTATCCTCTTTTTCTTAAAATATGTATTCCTATAACTAAACCCCTTTCTATACAAAGTTCAATCAAAGGGCTCCCTTATCTTTTTCCCTGGCACCCAAACTTCCCTCCACACCTCTCTAAAAGTTTCCCATTTAGCTTGCCCCCACCACAATTACTCTCTCATTGGGTAAAAGGGCCCTTACATTCATTAACTTTCCCCCAAAATCTCTTTCCCCCTCTGCTTCCTCTCTTCTCAGGTGAAAAACCGCTTATTATGCCCCACTTCTCGATCCAACCTTTATTTAATCCAATAATTCTTGAATTTACAATTCTATTTCTTTTCCCCTTCCATAACTGTCTTTAAACATTACTGCCCCCCTTTCCTTTGCTCAAATCTCTCAGATACCCCGTTTTAAATCCCATTTTTTTCCCCCCCACTGAAACTCTCCTACCCCCTTCAGCCTTTGTTCGTTTTGGGGGGGGCCAGCACCCAAAACTTTTTTTTAATTATAACATCCAATATTGTTTTTGTCATCCGCACTACCCCCGCCATTTAAAAACCCCAGTTTTATAAGTTTTTCTTTCTCTTTTTTAGAAAATTTAACGGGGAAAAGGGGTTTACTGCCATTGCCCGGCATTTTGTCGCCTCATACGACCCATGTTACGGAGGAAAATTTTTTTCCCATTTTCCCCTGGACAATAGAAAAAAATAAAAAAAGAACAAGGATTTAAAAAAAGGAAAAAAAAAACCTAGATTATTATTTATAAAAGCATTGCGTGTCTGTGAAGTGGACCAAAGTGAAAGTAGGGTAAAAGATACCCTGTTATCTTAGGTGTTTATGAGCAGAAAAAGAAACCAAAATCTACCAATAAAAAAACAGTTACGGGTTTTTTTGTTTCACGTTATCTGGCAGGGGGTAGTACTTCCCCCTGGGGGGTTGTGTCTACAACCTATAGTAAAATTAAAAATCTAGCAAAAATAAAAATGGTTAGAGAGAGCGAGCAAACACTATTTTTTTTAATTCGACCGTCCCGCCAAGTAGGATGACCAAAAATGAAAAACACTTTCCTATCTTTTATACATAATCAGTTTTTGCAAGGCCCCTCGTAAAACACTCAGGTTCATCAACAGCAAATACCCCAAAACCCTTTTAAAGTGAGGCAATGTATTTCTCCTTTAGGACTAAAATCCGGCTAAAAACCCAAATTTCCCGAACCTTTTCAAAATACATGTATTACCTGCTCACCTCCAACAGCTCATAAAATCCCAAAAAACATTGTCTCCCTTTACTCCTATCTAAACCCTCATACAGCCTGGCATGTCCAAAACCCCCTTTCACACAAACCTCTTTTATGCCCCCCCCCCACCCCTACCCCCCCCTTCCCTTATATAGATTTTACCCCTCCCTCATGAGGTAAATGTACAAATTTATATGACAATAACTTTCCCGATTTCTGTTATTTTTTAATAATAGTAGTTTAAAAGCTCTGTAATTTAATAATGCTTAAAATGCAGTGATTTTTTTTTTAAATTTTGCCTTTTCACATGAAATTCCTTACAAATCAAGTGTATGGACTGATAAAAATAACCTCTAGCTCTTTTCCACAGAGAAATTTACATATAATGAAGTATTTACATAATGCTTGAGTAAATAATCTAAGCTAACTAAGAAGTCTGTACATATGTTTTGATTACAATATTTCTAGAACTTTAACATAAATTTCATACAACACATAAAACCTTTTAAATTTATCCACTTACAGCTTTGAAATCATGGATGAAGCGGCCTTGGCGGCCAATGCCAAAATCAGGAACATGGATATTCTCAAAACTGTCCTCCTCCAAGTCAAGCTCAAACTCCTCCTTGAATAATCTATCAGAGGTTGTCCATTCTGCATCATCATCATCTCCCTTGAGAATGGAATATTAAATGTATGCAAATTAATATGCACAACACTTCATTATGATATACATTACAATACAGCAAGTGTATACGTATAGGCACTTCCTTATCTTTATATAAGAAATTTACTTATTTCACCACTCTTATTTGCCCCCTGTATTTACAGCAAACACATCTTTTCTCAGTGCTTTTCTGTTTACTTTTTAACCTTTTGAAAGTACTAAAAGTATTGGCTTTTCAGCACTTATCAAAAATCTTTGAAAAACAATTTCAAATTAATTTTGACCTTGTCTTTCCTTTGTGCTAGTGTTAAAGTAGCTTATCAAGGAATGTGTTTTAGTACTTTTCAGACAGAGGTACAGTATGTCCAGCAGCATGAAGCGTAAGTCCCATGAACATAGTGAAAAGCAGCGGTACAGATACATTGAACAATATGAAGCACCATTCATGTGCTCAGCACAAATAAATGATATGCATTTTTTCCCTCAACTACCATTTCCTGCCTAGGCAGGGGTGACCCAAAGAGGACAACACATTCACCATCATTTGTTTACTTGCTATCTTGTCTCTTGAGGGAGTACGTATTGTACTTGGTGATGTAAGAATTATAACTGCTTATATTCATTTACAATAACTAAACCTCAAATTCTTTGTACATACAGCTCAAACTTACCCCTGTGATCTGTTTAAAAATTAAAAGTACATATACCACTACGGTCCCTTGTACTGTACATGGCAGGGGTGGCCAAATCTTCATGACCTACCACATGACCTTAGAAACGCATCCAACAGTTTTCAGATAACCGAGACCCATAAGATATGGATAACATTTTCACACTGGGCTTATATTAATAAAACTAATGCAAAGAAAATTATATAATTACAAAATTATAAACAAAAAATAAGAAATGGAAATGAAAACTTATTTGCAAAAGACTATACAGTGGTCCCCTGGTTCGCGAAGTCACCGGTAACCGATAAATCCGGTATCCGAAGCGTTATATCGCAAAAAATTTGCCCCTGTTCCTGTAACAAAACCCGGTATGCGATACGATTCGTACGAGACATGTCCACATATGGCCTGAACTGCCCCGTGTGTGCCAGTGTTTACAAGCCAGCCAGTGTGCGTGCATCTAAGGATACATTCGGTACATTCCATATTATCCATATTATCACTGTTTCTGGTGCTTGTTTCTGAAAATTAAGTCACCATGGGCCCCAAGAAAGCTTCTAGTGCCAACCCTTCGAGACCAACGGTGCTAATGACTACTGAAATGAAGAAAGAGATAATTGCAAAGTATGAAAGTGGAAAGTGGCTGAAAAATATGTGCATGAATTCAATGAATTAAAAGAAGGGAAGTAACCCCGGAAAAGAACTTGCTACCTTAAGTCCTAATGGAGGAGGATTCCCCTTCTGAACATTAAAAACTTAAACACTCTCCCCTCCTCCCATCCCATCAATCATCACCAGATCTTCATTAACCCTTTGAGGGTTTCGGACGTACTAGTACGTCTTACGCGCAGGGGTTTTTGACGTACTAGTACACATAAATTCTAGCGCCGTCAAATCTCGCGGGAAGAGGCTGGTAGGCCTCCATATGAAAGAATGGGTCTATGTGGTCAGTGTGCACAGTATAAAAAAAATCCTGCAGCACACAGTGCATAATGAGAAAAAAAAAACTTTTACGTTTTTTTTGGCATAAAACAGCGTCTTTGCACTGTATTTTCGTATGGTATTTATTGTTGTATTCTAGTTTTCTTGGTCTCATTTTATAGAATGGAATGCATATCACAGAAATTGAGATGATTTTTACTGGTTTTACAATGAAAAGTACCTTGAAATTGAGCTCAAAGTAGCAGAAATGTTCGATTTTTACCAAAGTTCAAAAGTAAACAAATCATGCCAAGCGTCCAATACACGTCAACTGGTGAGTCTAACATTCTTTTGCAATTGCGCCAATATGATTTATATTATTTTTTACACTAATGCAGTAGTCTGCATAACAGTAAATCTTCTATTTTTCGTGAGAATAAAAATTCAAAGTGGAAAGCAAAAGAATGTAAAAGGGGCCTTGAGACGTGACTAATGAGCAGAAGAAATGTCATTTTAGTGCCAGGAATGCATTTCTTGTTTGTTCTGGACACTATTCGGAAATTGGCATTTTTGAAATTTGTGTGAAATTGGCAAAATTGCTAAATTCTGACCACTGTATTGGATAGTTGAAAATGGTAAATGGGTGGTTTCTTGCACTCATTCAATAGAAAAAATGTAGTTCTAGCGAAATATTCATGTTGTTTGTCGACTAGTACAGAGGAATTGGCCGAAAATGGGGCTCAAATTGGGCAAAATCGCCGATGCGTAAACATCGCCGAGACCGCTAACTTTGCGAGAGCATAATTCCGTAAGTTTTCCATCAAATCTCATAATTTTAGTGTCATTATGATCGGGAAAAGATTCTCTATCTTTTCATAAGAAAAAATAATTTTTTTTTTTAAATTTGGCCGACCCTGAGAACGAGTTTCTGAGAGCGCCTGTCGACCCTCAAAGGGTTAAAGGTAAGTGTCAATTATTCTATTGTGTTTATTCTATTTTTATTATTGCTACTGTAATTATTCTATTGCATTAAACTTAATATTTCATGTGGTAAAAGTCTTTTTTTTCATACTTTTGGGTGTCTTGCACGGATTAATTGATTTCCATTATTTCTTATGGGGAAAATTGATTCGCTTTCCGATAATTTTGCCTTACGATGAGCTCTCAGGAACGGATTAATGACGTGAACCGGGGGTCCACTGTATATTTGAAGACAGTTTTTATAAACCCTCTGACTGTTTCGGTAGTATATATACGTCTTGCAAGCCATCGTGTTTGACGTATTTATACGCATAAATTCTAGCGGCTTCAAATCAAGCGGGAGAAAGCTGATAGGCCTACATGAGAGCGAGTGGGTCTGAGTGGTGGGTATGCACCCTGTGAAAAAATTGGGGGCTCAGTGGTGCATTGTGGGAACGCCATCTTGGTAGTCCATTTTCACCATGCCTCGCGGTAAGAAGTACCTCACTCCTCAGTAGATTGGAGGTCTTTTGTTCCCAAGTGATAACTCTAACAGTGATGGAAGTGCCAGTGAAAGTGAATTTCATGGTTTTGGAGTGGGTGTGACCAAAAGCAGCGCCCAGGAAAACGTAGTTAGTGATGAAAATCAAGATGACCCACAACCATCCACATCTGGTGCTGGGCTGTCTCATTCAAGTTCATCTGAACCAGGACGAAAGAGGAAACTATTTACCCATGTACAAGACTCAGATGTGAGCAGTGATAGTGATAGTGATTTCAAAGCTATTGAAAGCAGGTCTAGTTGCTACAGTTAGGGTGAATATTCTCCAGTGAAGCAGCAGTATGTATGACATAGCATGCATTCTGGTAGTGTGTCATATGTTGTTCCAAGGGGAAGGAGTAAATCTCGGAGTACATCCTGTGGCCCTACACCACAAACTGATAGTGAAGATGATGATATTGTTACAATGGGTATGAATGATGTGAGCGAGGCAGCAGATGGTGATAGTGGTGGTGGCATGAGTCATGTGGCACCAGCAGCGGGCCATGCTACTACCAATGCTGCTAACTCAGCACAGCCACAACCAGCCTCAACCAACCCCACACTCCCACAACATCCACAACCACAACCACCTTTCAATATCCAGAACCCACCAGCAGACCGCATCTGGGATTGGCAGCAAGGTGACAATTTTGTTCCTAATCCACATGACTTTGATGAAACACAAAATGGAATACGGCCATCATATACACTTGGGAACAATGCTACTGAACTGGAATACTTTCAGTTATTCTTCGATGAACCCCTGATGGACATTATTGTCAGGGAAAGCAATACATACTTTGAGTACACCATGGCAAACACAATTCTTTCACCAAGATCACGCCTACACCAGTGGACGGACACAACTGTGGCAGAGATGTATCTGTTCTTTGCGACAATAATGTTTATATCACATGTGTACAAGCACAGTGTCAACACATACTTGTTGAGACCGCCTGATTTCAACCCCAGCTTTCGGTGACATTATACCAGTGAATAGATTTGTGCTACTGTTATGTACGCTACACTTTTCAGACAAAACAAGGCTGTAAGAAGATGGACAGTTTGAATGCTTTGAAAATAAATGTTATGGTAAATATTATTAAAGGCACATATGAAATTAAGTTATATATACATTGTGTAATATTTTGTATAATGTATAAACAAATCAGTATAAAAGAAAACTCTGAGGATGCTACTCATTTATTATTATTATATACGTACGTGACTTGAGTACCATGGCTTGCTAGTGTCGGATACAAAGCTTTGCAAGTACAGTGGACCTCCGGTTTACGATCAGCTCCCAATGCGACCAATTATGTAAGTGTATTTATGTAAGTGCATTTGTATGTGTATGTTTGGGGGTCTGAAATGGACTAATCTAATTCACAATATTCCTTATGGGAACAAATTCGGTCAATACTGGCACCTGAACATACTTCTGGAATGAAATAATATCGTAAACCGGGGGTCCACTGTAATTCAAACTTTACTTTGCAAATGAATTTAAAGCTAGTGCATAGTTTACCTTGTAAATGGCAGGGTTGCCTCCAAGGGGAAGTTTGGGGTTGCCCATGAGATGAAGAGAATCACGTTCATATGGAATCCCACACCACCCACGGAAACGAGACATCTGAAAATAATGAACAGTAAAATTTAAGTTTTAAACATAATCCATTACATATTTAAAACTACATGACATACATATACAGTAGTACAGTGACTATTGTATATGGCAAATTTGGCACATACCTTTCATGAACTTAACCTAAGCCTCACTATCCTCATAAAAACTCTTTACAGCATTTAGTAACTTACCACTTATTCCACACACTTGCAATATCTGCCACATTGCTCCCCTATCAACAGCCTTTTCTAAATCCATAAAAGCAACAAAAACTTCCCTACCTTTATCTAAATACCATGCACTTGACAAGGTATACTCAGTAGGTTTATTCCTCTAAAATTTTTACATTTTGTCCCTCTTCCCTTTATATAGGTACTTTCCCCTCTTTAAAAAGAATGTACACATATTTAGTATTTTCTGAAGCAATAAGATGGTAGACCGACGAACAGTAAAGCTTGAAACCACACAGTAGACAAGCCACAGCTCTGTAGCTGCAGTCTAAGTTACAGAGCATAAACTGCTGATATCTGATACTAGGCACCATCACTGGGATTACCATGCCTATACAAACACCGCCACAGTAATGAGGATTGAGTTCAATTATTATTTATTCTTTTGCTATTATTGTGTGTATGTATGTAATTTTTTTTTTAACAAGTCGGCCATCTCCCACCAGGGCAGGGTGACCCAAAAAGAAAGAAAATCCCCAAAAAGAAAATACTTTCATCATTATTCAACACTTTCACCTCACTCACACATAATCACTGTTTTGGCAGAGGTGCTCAGAATACAACAGTTTAGAAGCATATACATATAAAGATACACAACATATCCCTCCAAACTGCTAATATCCCAAACCCCTTCTTTAAAGTGCAGGCACTGTACTTCCCATTTCCAGTATATAAAATTAACCGCTATATAAAAATAACCGGCTTCCCTGAATCCCTTCACTAAATATTACCCTGCTCACACTCCAACAGCTCGTCAGGTCCCAAATACCATTCACCTACATTCACTCCTGCCTAACATGCTCATGCACACTTGCTGGAAATCCAAGCCCATCGCCCACAAAACCTCCCTTACCCCCTCCCTCCAACTTTTCGAGGATGACCCCGCCTTCCTACCCCTAAAGATTTATATGCTCTCCATGTCATTCTACTTTGATCCATTCTCTCTAAATGACCAAACCACCTCAACAACCCCTCTTCAGCCCTCTGAGTAATACTTTTATTAACTCCACACCTTCTCCTAATTTCCACACTCCGAATTTTCTGCATAATATTTACATCACACATTGCCCTTAGACAGGACATCAACTGTCTCCTCACTGCAGCATTTACAATCCTAGCTTCACACCCATAGTGTTGGTAACACTATACTTTCATACATTCCCTTCTTTGCCTCCATAGATAACATTTTTTATCTCCACGTATACCTCAACGCACCACTCACCATTTTTCCTTCATCAATTCTATGATTAACCTCATCCTTCATAAATCCATCCGCTGACACGTCAACTCCCAAATATCTGAAAAATATTCACTTCTTCCATAATCCTCCTCTCCAATTTGATATCCAATTTTTCTTTATCTAAATCATTTAATACCCTCATCAGCTTACTCTTTTCTATGTTCACTTTCAACTTTCTACCTTTACACACACTCCCAAACTCGTCCACTAACCTTTGCAATTTTTCTTTAGAATCTCCCATAAGCACAGTATCATCAGCAAAAAGTAACTGTCAATTCCCATTTTGTATTTCATTCCCCATAATTTAATCCCACCACTCTCTCGAACACCCTAACATTTACTTCTTTTACATCCCTATCTATAAATATATTAATCCTTTCAGGGTCCACAGGTCCTCTCAGAGACTTGCTCTCAGAATCCCCCAAATTTAAAAAAAAAAAAAAAAAAAAAAAAAAAAAAAAAAAAAAAAAAAAAAAAAAAAAATCTTATGAAAAGATAGAGAATCTTTTCCTGATCATAATGACACCAAAAGTATGAAATTTGATGGAAAACTTACGGAATTATGCTCTCACGAAGTTAGCGGTCTCGACGATGTTTATGCATCAGCGATTTTGCCCACTTTGAGCCCTATTTTTGGCCGATTCCAATGTACTAGTCGACAAAAATCATAACTATTGTGCTAGAACTCCATTTTTTTCTATTGAATAAGTACAAGAAACCACCAATTTACCAATTTCAACTATCCAATACAGTGGTCTAAATTTAGCAATTTTGCCAATTTCACAAATTTCAAAAGATGCCAATTTCCAAATAGGGTCCAGAATAAACAAGACATTCCTGGCACTAAAATAACATTTCCTCTGTTCATTAGTCACGTCCCCAGGCCCCTCTTACATTTCTTTTGCTTTCCACTTTGAATTTTTATTCTCACAAAAAAATTAAGATTTACTGTTATGCAGACTACTGCATTAGTGTAGAAATGGTATAAATATTATCGGCGCATTTGTGAAAGAATATTAGACTCGCCTGTTGACGTGTATTGGACGCTTAGCATGATTTGTTTACTTTTGAACGTTGGTAAAAATCGAACATTTCTGCTACTTTGAGCTCAATTTCAAGGTACTTTTCATTGTAAAACCAGTCAAAATCATCTCAATTTCTGTAATATGTCTTCCATTCTATAAAATGAGACCAGGAAAACTAGAATACAACAATAAATACCATACGAAAATATAGTGCAAATTCGCTGTTTTAATCCAAAAACACGGTCAAAGTTTTTTTTCTCATTATGCACTGTGTGCTGCAGGAATTTTTTTATACTGTGCACACTGACCACAGAGACCCATTCTTTCATATGTAGCCCTACCAGCCCAGGCCTACCAGTCACCAGGCCTGGTGGCTAAAGCTCCCGCTTCACACACGGAGGGCCCGGGTTCGATTCCCGGCGGGTGGAAACATTTCGACACGTTTCCTTACACCTGTTGTCCTGTTCACCTAGCAGCAAATAGGTACCTGGGTGTTAGTCGACTGGTGTGGGTCGCATCCTGGGGGACCCCAATGGAAATAAGTTAGACAGTCCTCGATGATGCACTGACTTTCTTGGGTTATCCTGGGTGGGTAACCCTCCGGGGTTAAAAATCCAAACGAAATCTTATTTTATCTCTCTTAACTTATCTTCTCTCACTAGATTTGAAGGTGCTAGAATTTATGCGTACTAGTACGTCATGGACACTGGCGCGTAAGCCGTACTAGTACGGCCGAAACTCTGAAAGGGTTAAACAACCATGGTGACACTACACATCCCTGTCTAAGACCTACTTTTACCGGGAAGTAGTCTCCCTCTCCTTTACACACCCTAACCTGAGCCTCACTATCCTCTTTACAGCATTTAGTAACTTACTACCTATTCCATATACTTGCAACATCTGCCACATTGCTCCCCTATCCACTATCATATGCCTTTTCTAAATCCATAAATGCAATGAAAACTTCCCTATCTTTATCTAAATAATGTTCACATATATGCTTCAATGTAAACACTTGATCTACACATCCCCTACCCACTCTAAAACCTCCTTGCTCATCTGCAATCCTACATTCTGTCTTACCTCTAATTCTTTCAATAATAACCCTACCATACACTTTTCCTGGTATACTCAGTAAACTAATTCCTCTATAATTTTTGTCTCCCTTCCCTTTATATAACAAACTAGACATGGTCTCTGCCAATCCCTAGGCACCTTCCCCTCTTTCATACATTTATTAAACAAAAATATCAACCACTCTAACACTATATCCCCCCTGCTTTTAACATTTCTGTCATGATCCCATCAGTTCCAGCTGCTGTACCCCCTTTCATTCTACGTAATGCCTCACGTACCTCCCCCACACTCACATCCTGCTCTTCTTTATTCCTAAGAGATGGTATACCTCCCTGGTGGCCAATGCATGAAATTACTGCCTCCCTTTCTTCGTCGACACTTAAAAGTTCCTCAAAATATTCCCGCCATCTACCCAATACCTCCATCTCCCCATCTACTAACTCCCCTACTCTGTTTTTAACTGACAAATCTATTCGTTTCCTAGGCCTAAAGTCAAAACGGCCTAAAGTCGAAACAATATTTCCCATAAGAAATAATGTAAATCCAATTAATCCATTCCACCCAAAAACATTCACAAAAAAAATTATTTTTTTAAAGAATAAATACAGTGGAACCTCAAAAATTGAACTGCTCCCAACACAACCAATTATGTAAGTGTATTTTTGTAAGTGCTTTTATAAGTGTATTTTTGAGGGTCTGAAATGGACTAATCTAATTTACATTATTCCTGATGGGAATAAATTCATTCGGTAAAGGCACTCGAACAGCCTTCTGGACTGAAGAAAGTTCGATATTTGAGGTTCCACTGTACTATAGTTTTACATACAGAAAACAATGAGAAATAAATATAAATGAACATTTAAATCAGTTTTACCTTTATGTAACACTCTTGTTTGCATATGAGAGAGGCAGGAGAGTTTGTTTGGAGGCAGGACAAGATAGTCCTTCAACATGACACTAATTTCAACTCTATGGCTTATTCATTTAGCACAATTCTTCTAATGTGACATAATAAACAATATTAATAACAGAAACATGATATACAGTGGACCCCCGGTTAACTGATTTTTTTTCATTCCAGAAGTATGTTCAGGTGCCAGGTTCCCATATGGAATATTGTGAAGTAGATTAGTCCATTTCAGACCCCCAAACATACACGTACAAACGCACTTACATAAATACACTTACATAATTGATCGCACTGGGAGGTGATCGTTAAGCGGGGGTCCACTGTATACTCTAGAATGAATAAAATATATGTCTGTCCCCCTAACTGACGAGTGTTGCCGTGTTGTTTGTTGTTGGGTGTATAAGGGCCACTGAAAGATAAGCCTTACACAGTTGTGGTGATGGCGCCAGCAGAGCCGGCAGTGTTGTCAGTCACCCTATATAACTCCGACAATGTTGGAGGAATCGGTTTCGTGCTGTCCTTTTTCTATCGATTAATCGTTTAACTTACTTGCTACATTGTTAATGCTACACTTTAGAGCTGGCTGGCATTATAGCCTTTATCGACTCGTGCTGTTTTAGTATTGTACATATCGTAGAACCACTGAAGAAGGCACATTCTCCCCTCTCTCTTCCTCCTCCACTTTGGTACTTTGCTACACTTTCTTCAATTCTATCGTGTTTCTCACTTTCTTTACCAGTGCCCATGGTGGCTTATTTCACAGTCACAATCACTAAACACAACAAATGAAATGTTTGGACGAGTGCGCAGGGTAATGTTCACTCAAGGATAAAGAAAGCTAGACTCGCTCATGACGCCTGCAGGCAGACAGGTCTGGTATGCAGGCCAAAACACAGGGCACAGGCTGAAATGCGGGACAAAATTTAGCTGAAAAAAGCGGTTGAAACTTGAAGCGGCCGATATTCAGGGCGGCCGAAACTCGAGGTTCCACTGTATATCAGAGTTGATTTCCTCTATTCTGTTTATTACAATATACAGTAAACTACTGTATAAAAATTTAAAAAATATAACAGAAATATTATAAATGGTTCAAAGGTGACATTAATAAACAATATCAAAGATGGTTGACACAAACCCACTACCATTAGTATGCTCCTCACTTAGCGACGAATTCGTTTACTGATGAGGTCTTAGGAAGGGAACTACGTCGTTAAGTGAGGAGAGGCTGTATATTGTACTATACAGTATATGTATACAATATGTTTCATACCTACAGCATTTCAATATGCCAGTTTTAAATTTAGGTAAGATGAAGTTAATCAGCAAGCAAAATAATACAGATACATGTGCTGGTGTATCAAAACCTATATATTATTCCAAAACCATTTATAAAGAAAAATTTTTACAAAAGATATACCAAAATCTCTTAAGTAGACAGCAGTTAGCTGTTAAAGAAGCCTGAAAACCATCAATGAACAAGGTATTTTTACTGGCCTGGTGACGTGAGAATGCACGGTACAGGTAAACGCCTCCAATGATGCCAATGCTCATAACCATAAGTGCAGTGATGAAGACACAGATGGTTGTAGCTGTGGACACACGACGGCGAGCACTGGAGGAGAGCCATGCCTCGACGTCACCACTGTTGGGGTCCAGTACAGTGTGATCTACCCCACATTCTGTACCCTGATGGGACAAAGTTTATTCAAATTTATCTGTACCTTTCTACCTCTACCAAGTGAATAAGAATGGCAGTACTGGGAACAAATAAGGTGTTTATTCCTTTACAGTAAACATGTACCATCAGGGGGAATTACTAAGTGTATCTGGGGATATTACCATGTGTATCCTGGGGGGATTACCAAGTGTATCCAGGGGGATTACCAAGTGTATCCATGGGGGATTACCAAGTGTATCCATGGGGATTACCAAGTGTATCCATGGGGATTACCAAGTGTATCCATGGGGGATTACCAAGTGTATCCATGGGGGATTACCAAGTGTATCCATGGGGGATTACCAAGTGTATCCAGGGAGGATTACCAAGTGTATCCAGGGAGGATTACCAAGTGTATCCAGGGTGGATTATCAAGTGTATCCAGGGTGGATTACCAAGTGTATCCAGGGTGGATTACCAAGTGTATCCAGGGGTATTACCAAGTGTATCCAGGGTGGATTACCAAGTGTATCCAGGGTGGATTACCAAATGTATCCAGGGTGGATTACCAAGTGCATCCAGGGTGGATTACCAAGTGTATCCAGGGGGATTACCAAGTGTATCCAGGGGGGATTACCAAGTGTATCCAGGGGGGATTACCAAGTGTATCCAGGGAGGATTACCAAGTGTATCCTGGGGATTACCAAGTGTATCCTGGGGGATTACCAAGTGTATCCAAGGGGGATTACCAAGTGTATCCAAGGGGGATTACCAAGTGTATCCAGGGGGGATTACCAAGTGTATCCTGGGGGATTACCAAGTATATCCGGGGATTACCAAGTGTATCCAGAAGGATTACCAAGTGTATCTGGGGGGTAATTACCAAGTGTATCCTGGGGAATTACCAAGTGTATCCTGGGGGATTACCAAGTGTATCCTGGGGAATTACTAAGTGCATCCAGGGGGATTACCAAGTGTATCTTTTGATTACCAAGTGTATCTGGGAGGATTACCAAGTGTATCTGGGGGATTACCAAGTGTATCCAGGGGAGTACCAAGTGTATCCAGGGGGATAACCAAGTGTATCTGGGGGATTACCAAGTGTATCCAGGGGAGTACCAAGTGTATCCAGGGGGATAACCAAGTGTATCCAGGGGATAAGCACATGTATCCAGGGGGATAACCAAGGGTATCCAGGGGGGATTACCAAGTGTATCCAGGGGGTATTACCAAGTCTGGTTGATCTGACCCTGATCCACCACAAGGCCTGGTCTCAGACCGAGCTGCGGGGGCGTTGAACCCCGAAATCATCTCCAGGTAAACTCCAGGTAAGTGTATCCAGGGGGGTTTACCAAGTGTATCCAGCAGATGACTAAGTATATAGATTACTAAGTGAATTTAGGGAATTGTATCTAGGAGGTTTACTAAGTGTATTTATTGGGATTACTAAGTATATATCTCCAGGGATTATTAATTGTATCTAGAGATTACTTCAATATAAGGGAAGTACAAAGTCCATCTGGTCTGTTCCCTGGTGGAAGCCAGTACTTGGCTTATCCTGGGTTATTAATCCTCTGGAATTGTTAATCTGGTCTCAGTCATCTAGAAGAACACTTCTGGAAGTTTCTTTAATAAACATTTAAAGGCAGTTTTGTGGAGGTGACATTAAAAGAAAATGGAAAACTTTCATGTCATCCCCTTAAAAATAGTTTATAGACAAAATTCAGTCGTAACCTTAAAAAAGAAGATATTATTGACTGAAACTTTTAATTGTACAATACAATTTTAGCATTAATGAAAACTATGAAATTCTTGACATTTAATTAAGAAAAGTGACCTTTGAAACAACGATAAGTTGGAGATAAGAATGTCGAATGGCTGAATAACAAGGACATTATTTTCTTTAGTGTTAATAATTACTAAAATATTCATTATTAAATAACAATTACTGACCCGGTAACCCAAATAGATTAATATTTGCCGAGTCCGTCAAATTTATTGATATTTCGAGTCTTGACTCACCTACAGCGTCAGTATTTAACAAAGTGCATTAAAACTTTGTAACAGTTTAAAAGTTTGTAATAGTAAGTTTATTTAGGCACAGGTACACATTAGTACAATTATTGCAATGTTAATTAACCAGGATAACCCAAAAATGTCAAAGGACTTATTTCCAATGTGGTCCTTGTAATATATCATTATACCTTAAAAGTTAAAACAGCTAAATCATTCAACTATGGTCATAAATTAGACTCTGGGGTCATTAAGTAACAGTAATTACTCTTAATTAAGATCCCGACATCAAATCACTTCCTGTTACTGGGCGAGGCTGCCCAGGGCCCAACACGACCACCTAATTGATGGTATTTTAGCGTCTTACCACGATCTCGTTGGCGACGAGAGGCTTCTCCAGCTTCTTATCTGTCTTTGGCTTAGTGACGATGGTCATGGTGGAGGTGAGAGAGAGAGAGAGAGTGAGCTAGTACAACACACCACCACTGCTGCTCGGCCGCCACTACCAACTACGCTGTAATAATCAATACACACATATCAACACTACAACTCACACTAACATGTACGATCCAACACCATATAATCCAGTAAACTTGGATTCTAATTCTCCTGTGTCTTCTAATATAAGGTATCTGATCCTCTTAGCGTCATGGATAGACATGGTGATGCTGGTGTTTATACTGGCGTGATTTCATGGAGAGCCACGTCCTGTTGGTAAATACAGTGCCACTTATGGCCATTAATGGCACTCAATCAACAATCATTTTCTACGTCATGGAACGCTGCTAACATGAAAATTTTTGTTAATTTGGATCAAGTGACTTCTGCGGCAGGTTAACCTTCAGGCACTTCGCTTAAAGGATATACGCTATTAATATATTTTGCAGGAATATAGTATATTTTCATTAGAATAAATCAACCAAGGTTATTTTTGTGTTATTCGTAAGGAAGATAGTCATATTCCAGCATGTGATCTATAATAACCGCAGGATAACGTGTGTGGTGTCAGTGTCCACACTACTAATAATAACTTTAACAAAACCTTTTATATTACGTTTGGGAGCAGAGAAAGTCATGTCTAATTAAACATTATCATTAACAATACTCTTATTGCTAAACATAATGAGGGAAAATTTCTGGGTCTGCACCTAGACAGCAACTTGACATTCAACACTCATATCTATCACAAAGTATCCAAAACAGTTGGCATCATTTCAAAGATACTTTATTATGTACCACAAACAGCACTACTTACATTATACTACTCACTGATCTTTCTCTAACTCACCTGCGCTATATGTGTCTGGGGATCCACAAAGACAATTCACCTGAAGCCAATAATAACCCAACAAAGGACTCCAATGGAAATATTATTATTATTATTATAATCAAGGGGAAGCGCTAAACCCGTAGGATTATACAGCGCCCGGGGGGGATGTGGAAGGCATTCAGGCTTAATTCGGGGAACTGGAGCACAGATCCAATTCCATAAATCAAGAGCCCCTCACCAACATCAAGGAACCTTCCGTGAGGGGCCCAATGGAAATAAGTCACTGACTTTTTTGGGTTATCCTAAGTTCTCTACACATATGTTGCTATGTATGATAATCTATGTATTATTATTATTATTATTATAATCAAGGGGAAGCGCTAAACCCGGAGGATTATACAGCGCGTAGGGGGGATGTGGAAGGCATTCAGGCTTAATTCGGGGAACTGGAGCACAGATCCAATTTCCTAAATCAAGAGCCCCTCACCAACATCAAGGAACCTTCCTTGAGGGGATAATCTATGTAACTGTACTTGTGTATACCTGAATAAACTTAACAAAAAGCTGGAGTATGAATGACCACTCAGTCTACTGCTAGGCACACTCCATCTTCCAAGATCAAAACTTACTCGCTATACAAAATAATCACTCTTACTACTGTGCACCTACAGCGGGTTTCGGGGGTCAACGCCCCCGCGGCCCGGTCCATGACCAGGCCTCGTGGTGGATCAGGGCCTGATCTACCAGGCTGTTACTGCTGGCCGCACGCAAACCAAAGTACGAACTACAGCCTGGCTGGTCAGGTATTGACTTTATGTGCCTGTCCAACGCCTTCTTGAAAACAGCCAGGAGTCTGTTGATAATCTCCCTTAAGTATACTGGGAGGTAGCTGAACAGTCTTGGATCCCTGACACTTGCTGTGTTGTCTCTTAGCGTACTCATGACGCCCCTGCTTTTTATTGGGGTGATGCTGCATCTTCTGACCAGTCTTTTGGTTTGATATCCTGTCATACTCGATGACGCAGGATGGTATCCTGTCATACTCCATGATGTAGGATGGTTTCTGTCATACTCCATGATGTAGGATGGTTTCTGTCATACTCCATGATGTAGGATGGTTTCTGTCATACTCCATGATGTAGGATGGTTTCTGTCATACTCCATGATGTAGGATGGTTTCTGTCATACTCCATGATGTAGGATGGTTTCTGTCATACTCCATGATGTAGGATGGTTTCTGTCATACTCCATGATGTAGGATGGTTTCTGTCATACTCCATGATGTAGGATGGTTTCTGTCATACTCCATGATGTAGGATGGTTTCTGTCATACTCCATGATGTAGGATGGTTTCTCTGTCATACCCCATGATGTAGGATGGTTTCTGTCATACTCCATGATGTAGGATGGTTTCTGTCATACTCCATGATGTAGGATGGTTTCTGTCATACTCCATGATGTAGGATGGTTTCTGTCATACTCCATGATGTAGGATGGTTTCTGTCATACTCCATGATGTAGGATGGTTTCTGTCATACTCCATGATGTAGGATGGTTTCTGTCATACTCCATGATGTAGGATGGTTTCTGTCATACTCCATGATGTAGGATGGTTTCTGTCATACTCCATGATGTAGGATGGTTTCTGTCATACTCCATGATGTAGGATTGTTTCTGTCATACTCCATGATGTAGGATGGTTTCTGTCATACTCCATGATGTAGGATGGTTTCTGTCATACTCCATGATGTAGGATGGTTTCTGTCATACTCAGTAATGCAAGAACGAATAATAATAATAATAATAATAATCTTACTCTCATTTAATAAAGAAATAAAATTATTGTAAAAACGTCGTCCATTATCGCAAATATTTTACGCGTAATTCATAATGATAATTTGTTACCACGAGAGAAATTATCTAGGCAGTTATCTGTATATACAGTACAGTGGGTGGTGACAGCCTTTGAATTATCATGACCAGTACAGACACACCCATCTACTGAGAGGCCCCACTACTTGCACTTGACGATAATAATAATAATAATAATAATATACTATCACCACCACTACTACTACTACTAAAATATTACTACTATACTACCTCCGCCACTACCACTACTACTAAAGAACGAAAAAGCACAACGCCGACACCAATAATGCCCTTTTCTGTCATGTTAGATAATAGTCATCCTATTGACTGGTCCACTTTGAAAGCAGGCGAAATTGCAGGTCTGGAGAAAATACAGAGAACTTTCACTGCACGTATAAGTACAATAAAGCGCCTAAACTACTGGGAACGGTTGAAATATCTTGACCTGTACTCCCTGGAATGCAGGCGAGAGATACACGATATCATACACTTCGAAAATCCTAAGAGGGAATAGTCCCAAATCTGTACACGGAAATCACTCCCTACGAAAGCAAACGACTTAGCAGGAGATGCAACATTCCCTCAATGAAAAGCAGGGGCGCCAAGAGTACACTAAGAGAACACAATAAATGTCAGGGGCCCAAGACTGCTCATCTGCCTCCCAGTATACATAAGGGGGATTACCAATAAACCCCTGGATGTCAAGAGGGAGCTGGACAGATACCCAAAATCAGTACCTGACCAACTGGGCTGTGGTTCGTACGTCGGTTTAAGTGCGTAACAGCCTGGTCGATCAGGTCCTGATTCACCGCGAGGCCTGGTGAAGGACTGGGCAGCAGGGGCGTTGACCCCCGAAACACCCTCCAGGTATACCTTCCTTCCCTTCAACCAGGTTTGTCTCCCATTCCCTAGGAACTCCATAGCCCCTCCGGAATTAGTGATTTCCCATGATTATATTTCTGATGATTTCTACTGTATTTTATAGCCAAGCTTTAAATAATAAGTTATTACAAGGAACCCAATACAAAGAAGTAACTTCCATCGTTATTTAGGTATGGCACACTTAAACAATTTAGGAGAACGATGGAAATAAATCACTGACTTTTTTGGGTTATCCTAGGTATGTTAGACATATGTTACTAGGTATGATAATTATATCATGTGGACCTGTTCCTAAACTTACTAGAGTCCACCTTGTGTGTATTCCCACAGATTGTGCGACCTTCAAATGTATGCATTATCAATATGGTTGATAGCCAGGTGGTGTATTCTCCAGCACTGGGTCCCATGATGCCGGCGAGAGGGTCTTGATCAGAGGAACTGCAGCTGCACTCCGCTTCCTCGGATTAAACCTGATTACCTCAAAGTATTTTTAATCAGGGGGATCACTAAACCCGTAAGGTTCTACAGTCTATCGGGAATGGGAGGCACTCAAGTTCGATCCAAGGAAGAGGATGATAAATCCAGCTTCATGGATTAAGAGTCCCTAACTGCCATCCAGCCACCTCCCCTGAGAAAAGTGGATCATCCATAAAATATTAAAGCCATTCAGAAATAAACACAAAGTATTTTGATCATGATAATTAAACGGGAATAACAATTCCGCACTATTATACACATAAATGGTCAAATTTGCACCTAGCAGCCTGAATTTTCTCTCAACCATCTCTCTTTGAAGCTGAACCACTGAGGATTTTGGAAGTTATCTGAGCCCTGCCAGGATTAAGTAAGTTTATTTAGGTACAGATACACATAAATACAATTACACAATTATCATACATAATAACATAAGTGTTCGAAATTGGAATCCGATAAGATGAGGAGTTCTCGAGTTATGAGTAAAAGATTACTAAAAGTTAGAATGAAAAAAATAAAAAAAGTACTTGTTAGGTAAGACATATGCAACTTAGACAATTTTATTCCGAAACGTTTCGCTTACACAGTAGGCTTCTTCAGTCGAATACAGAAAGTAGGCAGGAACAGTAGAGATGTGAAGACGATGTAATCAGTCCATCACCCTTAAAGTCGTAGAATTTGAGGTTGTCAGTCCCTCAGCCTGGAGAAGTTCAGTATTCGACTGAACAAGCCTACTGTGTAAGCGAAACGTTTCGGAATAAAGTTGTCTAAGTTGCATATGTGTCTTACCTAACAACCTGTCGGTATTGTATACCATTTTTGATGTTCAAAAAAGTACTTGAAGAACTTACCTCCTCGATTCGCCTGTACTCTCCCGGCCCAAGTCTTTTCCAGATGGTGACCCGGCCTTGGCTCCCCGTCTAGGGAGTGTCGTGAGACCTACGGCCTAGCCCCATTCTCCGCCCTCACGGGGCTCGTAAGAAGCTTGGCCTGTGGTTTGCCATCTTCCCCACCCTAGGAGGACTATTGCGAATGGCAGTCTTGTGTGTTGCAGATGGTACCAAGCTCCGGCCCCGGCACCTTCCCCGCCTTGGAAAGGCTAGTGATAATGGTGTCTACCCGTGGAGCCTTCAAATAATAATAATAATAATAATAATAATAATAATAATTATGTTATGCAAATATATATAATCCATGCCTATATGCCTTTCTACAGTTATTATAATTTTATTATTATTATAATAATTTTTAATATCTTAAAATCAATAGAGAACAAGAGAAAAAATATCTATAATTGTTATACCATACTAATATAACTCGGAATAAATTGTTAGTTATACAATGAGTCAGTTATCATGTTATAGATAAGGCTTAGATCCGCCATTTGTACTTTATATAAGAGTAGAGGTGCTGGTGGGGAAGACACTCATCCTGGGAGACTCAAACAATTTACAAATCCATATTACCCACTCGTTTCTCTATATATTTTTAATTCACATCATTCAAGGTAATGTGTAATTGTATTATCATATTTCCGGGACAATTCTACTATCATATTCCATGGGAAGAATTATATGTATAGTTTTACTGCAGAGGATTACAATTTCCGATTTTTTTTTGTAAATAAATTAGTTTGCGCTTTGAGTATTGCACAACTGATAATTACGTCGTCTGAGATATATATGATGCGATCAATGTTGCAAGAGCATAGTATCTCTTGAGTTGTGGAGTTTATATTGATTTTTAATGTATATCTAAGAGGTAATCACTTTAAACATGATTAATTCTTGTTTGATTTTTTACAGAAAACGTGTTGTGGTGAACATGGCAGGGGGGACCAAGGCAGACGGTGTTCTCCTTTTCCCACTGCTGTTGTTTCTTTCATTACATTGTTCTTCTGCCCTGGTAACGTGTTTTCCTTTTGAAAATGTCTTGTGGTCCCTCCAGGATTAAATATCCATAAATTATATAGCTAGATATCTTAGCTATCTGTTTACAACTGTTTTGTGTACTCAAGAAATAGTCTTGGAAATTTTTTAAATGTTCTACTTATCAGTGCTTGTATTTATTAATGGTTAATGCTTTATGAAAATTGCAATCTTACAGAAAAGTTCTGATGCAGACAGAACTTTTGTGATTGACTACGAAAATGACCAATTTCTTAAGGATGGGGAGCCCTTCCAGTACATATCAGGTTCCATCCATTACTTCCGTGTCATACCCTCAAACTGGAGAGATCGTCTTAAGAAGATGCGTATGGCAGGATTCAACGCCCTACAAACGTAGGTTATATGACATATTTTTTTGTGATATGCCTTCATCATATAGTTTCCATTGCTAATAAATCCATATAGTATATCTTTAGTATCATCTACAACTACAGTACAAAAAAAAGTTTTGTGATATATCAGTTTCCAGCTGAAATTATGTACACTGTACACTGAAAATTTATTTTCAAGAATTGCATTTTGGTGTAGGGTTGTGCTGGGTTAGGTTACTTTAATTAAGTTAGTTTAGGTTAGGCAGCTTCGTTTGCTTTGGTTAGGTTAAATATCACTTGAATTTAATTAATATCACTTGAATTTAATTACATTAGATTGACTACAAATTATTAGAGGGTTAAATCAAAATACATGTATATATACTGTATTCTGAAATGTGTTGTCATGTTGCAGTTCAGGGAGAACTATGACTAGAACTATCAAGTATAACAAAATAATATATATCAGATACAGCATACTGAGTAAACTACTATACACAGTAAGCACTAAACACATAAGGTCATAAAACATCTGAGGAATGTGAGGGGTGGGGAGTATATCAGGTTTGATCTGGGTAAGAGAAGGGGGCCCTCTAATACCATGAAAAACCCATCACCAGATTTGTGTTGCAGACTGTTGGCACACTGATAACACACTGTTACAAAATTTGTTCTTTGAGGTATGCAGTTCTGTTGAACCTAAAGCCAATAATAACCCAACAAAAAGCCGCAGTAAGAATAATCACTAAATCCCATCCCTGGCAACACACCCCCCCACTCTTCATAGATCTAAACTTACTCCCTGTTCAGTACATCCACACTTACTACTGTGCAATCTACACCTACAGGACCTTAAATTCCAATATTAACCTTGACCTAAAATGCTTTCTTGATAGTTGTGACAGAACCCACAGGCACAACACCAGACACAAACATCTCTATGATATTCCCCGTGTCCGACTAAACCTTTACAAAAATTCAATGTATGTCAAAGGCCCTAAAATCTGGAACACCCTACCTGAAAATTCCAAAACTGCAGACACATTCATCACCTTCAAAACTACCATCAGAAAACATCTTATCTCCCTGATACACCCTGTCAACTAATAATACGAATACCACCTGGTGGTTCACACTTACACTCACTCACCCATTTGACCATAAACAGAAATATCAATCTCAATCTCAAAATAATGAATCTTAACTAGTCAAAAGTTGGCCTGTGATACTCCAATACTGAAACTATGTATAGTGCCAAAACAAAAGCATTCACATTGCTAAACTCACAACTAGTATTTAGTCACTTAGCCATAATACCAACTTATCTCATAATTTTGTAACATTTTAAACCTAAGATTTAATATAAGTCTGCCCGAAATGCCTAGCCATGCTAGGCGTTCTAGTGGTACACTCTGTAATTATTATTTTACTACATGTAAACCACACAATAACCAAATTCTGTAAACTCAGCATTGTAATACTTACAGAGAATAAAGTTTGAATTTGAATTTGAATTGAATTTGAATAAGGCAGTATTTATTCTTCAGCATTATTTATATTTATAAAAAGTGGATACAGTCACATATTGTGCATGCCTTCATAGATTGAAATAAATTACTACTTAGTAATACTTCCTGGTTTCCATTTATTGTAGGCATTCATGTGAAACCCTTTTTTCTTGGCGATATACATATGTACTGTGGAACCTGGTAGGCTTACCTCGCACCATTTAGATATGACAAGAATGTAATACTATAATTAGCAATGTATCAAATAAGTTATTATTTATGAAAAAAGATGCTTGTTTGATTTGAATTCATACCTAGGTTTTTTTTTAGTTATGTAGAATGGTCAAGCCATGAACCAGAGCCTGGTGTGTATGACTTCACTGGCATGCTCGATTTGGAGAGTTTCCTGAAGATGGCACAGGAGGAAGATCTTGTGGTTATCTTACGTCTTGGTCCTTTCATAGATGCTGAGAGAGATATGGTAAGCATGTTTTTGAATACAGGAATTTAATTATTGCAAACACTTATATAGTGCTAATTCTGGTGGATTTAAATTACTGTAATTTTATAATCAGTTTGTTTTATGTTGCCATTATAATATTAACTCTGAAAAATGTAGCATTTGCCCTTTTTCACTCTAAAATCCAAACTAAGAATTAACTAACTTATGTAAATTGTTAATGCCACCATAGGAAATACTGTATACACTTACAAGTACTCAAGTGCCTATCACTGTTGCTACTTAAGTGTGTTACCAGTCATTACTGATGTCCTGTAGACTCCTCTTATGTTCTTACCTAATACAGTGCAGTGCTATATTTATCTTCATTTCTTTCTACAAAAATTTAACATAACTGCCATTACCACTAAGCAAAATATTAATTATAGTAATGATTAAAAATGTTTGTTGTTAGACTAACTTGTGGTATACCTCTAGTATATACTGTATAATACGTATCAGGAATCATTGCCCCAACAACTTGCTTCCAGACTGAGCCTTTCTGCTAATCATTAAATTTAGCTACTCTTCAGTTGCTCTTTCATTTTCTATGAAAATTTCATGAAGATGTAGACATGTGACTAATTTAAGCAAGTGCAGTGATTTAAGTAAATATCAAATCAAGGCAAGAGTTATTTAATTTTGTGCATTGTTTTCTCAGGGAGGCTTACCATACTGGCTGTTGAACAAGAACCCAGACATGAGACTTCGAAGTTCAGACTCATGTGTGTACCACTATATATGTATATCTTGCATTACAAGAGCGAATCTCATAAAATGTTTAAAGATTAAAGATTCTATATTTCTGCATGATGCAATGTTTGTACAAGGGTGAATGACATTTAGGTGTTCATGCAGAAAGCCCCTTAGTATGGAGAGGATTTCAGGCAGACAAGCCTATCTTAAGATTAATAAGGCAATAACTAATTGAATGCTTATATACACTCTCTTAGGTAGTCGTAAAAATAAATTTAGGAGTTACAATGAATACAAGAGAATTGAATATCCTATTCGTACATGCTATATGGCTTTTATTGAGTTTAATTGTTTTAAGAATTACAGGTTGGATTATGATTAGTATAGGTAATGAGGATTCTAGCAAATCAATAATAATTTTATGAACTATGTTGTGTCAAACACAGTTTTAGTATATCAGTAACTTCTACAATATTTTACATGAATAACAGGTTAAATATTTATTAAATGCTGTGTACTCTATATGTGATTAATACACTGATCTTGTGTGCAGCGTACCTGACTTATGTAGATGACTGGTATGGCAATGTTCTCCTGCCTAAGATTAAACCGTTACTTTATGAAAATGGAGGACCAGTCATCATGCTGCAGGTAAGCTAAAACATAATTACTATTTAACTAAGTGTCTATTTTTAAAACTTGTAGAGTTAAAACCCTTAAAAATGTTAGATCATGTGGAAAAGAGATACAGAAGTGTTTTTTTTTGCTTATACAGATACTGTATCATCAATTATTTTTTTACCCTTGATGGCTATCTCCCACCATGATATCATTCAAAATAGGGAAAATATTCACCATCACTCATGCAATTACTATCTTGCTAGAAGTGTGCTGACACACGTTTTGATTACATATTTATTAGAAAGTTCATGAAATGGAACACCTCTTCTCTTCTTGTGATTATTATTATTATTATAATCAAGGGGGAAGCGCTAAACCCGGAGGATTATACAGCACCTGGAGGGGGGGGATGTGGAAGGCATTCAGGCTTAATTCGGGGAACTGGAGCACAGATCCAATTCCCTAAATCAAGAGCCCCTCACCAACATCAAGGAACCTTCCTTGAGGGGTCTCTTCTTGTGAGTGACCCTAATTATCTTGCCATAAAAAATAATAATGTTGTATCTACACTCCTTTGGCAAGACAGTGATAGTGTGAATGATAGTGAAAGTGTTTCTTTTCTGGATCACCTTGCCTCGGTGGGAGATGACCAGCATATTAAAAAAAGCTAATAATAATGTACCTTACAGGTAGTAGGTTGGTAGACAGCAACCGCCCAGGGAGGTACTACCGTCCTGCCAAGTGAGTGTAAAACGAAAGCCTGTAATTGTTTTACATGATGGTAGGATTGCTGGTGTCCTTTTTTCTGTCTCATGAACATGCAAGATTTCAGGTATATCTTGCTACTTCTACTTACACTTAGGTCACACTACACATACATGTACAAGCACATATATACACACCCCTCTGGGTTTTCTTCTATTTTCTTTCTAGTTCTTATTCTTGCTTATTTCCTCTTATCTCCATGGGGAAGTGGAACAGAATTCTTGCTCCGTAAGCCATGCATGTTGTAAGAGGCGACTAAAATGCCGGGAGCAAGGGGCTAGTAACCTCTTCTCCTGTATATATTATTAAATGTAAAAGGAGAAACTTTTGTTTTTCCTTTTGGGGCACCCCGCCTCGGTGGGATATGGCCGGTGTGTTGAAAGAAAGAAAGAATAATGTACCTCATCATACTACTATACAGAGTGCTGTAATTATCTTAACATAAAAACTAATAATAATGTATTGCATCATACTACTATATAGAATGCTATAATTGGATAATAAATGTCTTAATGATTTTTAATATAAAATTATGTGTGGCTGCATAAGTATATAAATATAGACTATGTTGTGGTTATAAATCATTGTTCATGGGTTCCAAAAGAATAGGAGGAAGTTCTTGATGATAATTATAATACAGTACACAAGAAACATTTGGGTATCTTTATTCTGGGAACATTTTCTCAGGCACTGGCATCTTCGGTCCAATATGTTTACAGAATAAAGAGACTCATCTATTGCACAAGTGTCTTATTTATCAACTTGTCATTTTTTTTTAACCATTTACTCACATAATACAGTAATGTAGTGACAGTGATGGTCAGGTATGGATAAAGCATTAAAAAATATGGCAAGTCTAAGAGTGAAAACTATAAGCACTACAATAATATATACAGTGGACCCTCAACCAGCGATATTAACCCGTTCCTGAGAGCTCATCGTTAATCGAAATAATCGTTAGTCAAGTTAATTTTCTATTGAAGATCTGGTGATGATTGATGGGATGGGAGGAGGGGAGACCATTGATCTTCTTAGTGTTTAGAAGGGGAATCCCCTTCCATTAGCACTTGAGGTAGCAAGTCTTTTTCTGGGGTTACTTCCCTTGTTCTTTTAATGCCACTAGGACCAGCATCAGAGTCACTGGACTTCTGTCGCACAACATATCTGTCCATAGATACCTGTACCTCTCGTTCCTTTATGACTTTCCTAAAGTGGTTCACAACATTGTCAGTGTACAGGTTGCCAACACGGCTTGCAGTAGCTGTGTCAGGGTGATTTTCATCAAAAAGGTTGCACTTCAAGCCACTTTGCACACATTTCCTTAATCTTAGAAGTAGGCAACTTCTTCAATTTCTCTATCCCCTCCTCTGAAGCAGTTTCCTCAGGTCTGCTCTCTTGCTGTTCAAGATGATCTAGCAGCTCATCAGTGGTTAGTTCTTCATTGTCCTCCTCCACCAGCTCTTCCACATCCTCCCCACTAACCTCCAACCCCAAGGACTTCCCCAATGCCACAATGGATTCCTCAACTGGCATAGGATTCTCAGGGTTAGCCTCAAACCCTTCACAATCCCTTTTGTCTACACATTTTGGCCAGAGTTTTTTCCAAGCAGAGTTCAAGGTCCTCTTAGTCACTTCCTCCCAAGCCTTACCTATAATGTTTACACAATTGAGGATGGTAAAATGATCTTTCCAAAACTCTCTTAGAGTCAGTTGAGTTTCTGAGGTCACTACAAAGCACCTTTCAAACATAGCTTTTGTGTACAGTTTCTTGAAGTTGGAAATGACCTGCTGGTCCATGGGCTGCAGGAGAGGAGTGGTATTAGGAGGCAAAAACTTCACCTTAATGAAGCTCATGTCCTTAGAAAGTCGCTCTGCCAAGTCTGAAGGATGACCAGGAGCACTGTCTAATACCAGGAGGCACTTAAGGTCTAATTTCTTTTCAATTAGGTAATTTTTCACATTGGGGGCAAATGCATGGTGTAACTAGTCATAGAAAAAGTCCCTAGTGACCCATGCCTTACTGTTTGCCCTCCACAGCACACACAAATTAGCCTTGACGACATTGTTTTTTCCTGAACACTCTGGAGTTTCAGAGTGATACACCAATAAAGGCTTCACTTTGCAATCACCACTAGCATTGGCACACATCAACAGAGTAAGCCTGTCTTTCATAGGCTTATGTCCTGGGAGTGCCTTTTCCTCCTGAGTAATGTAGGTCCTGCTTGGCATTTCTTCCAAAACAGGCCTTTTCATCACACATTAAACACTTGTTCAGGTTTCAGTCCTTCACTGTCTATGTACTCCTTGAATTCCTGCACATATTTTTCAGCGCTTTGTGGTCCGAACTGGCGAGCCTCACCATGCCTTATCACACTATGAATGCCACTATGCTTCTTAAATCTCTCAAACCAACTTTTGCTGGCCTTAAATTTCACTCACATCACTAGTTGCTGGCATTTTTTTTTAATTAAATCGTCATGCAACTTCTAGCCTTTTCACATATGATCCGGGTTTTTTTTAAAGATGCTTAAACCCCCTGTATCGGGTTTTTCGTTTTCCAAAACCAATAAGAGTCCTCAACATTTTCTCCGCTTTTCGATCTCAGTTTTTAAAACTTAGGTTTTTTTCCCTTTGACAAGGGAAAAGCTTTTGTTTTATTGCCGTTTTTCCCCTTTCCCCCCAATATAGAAGTTTGATTGGGGTTTTATTATACAACCTGAAACCCGCCCCAGAGACCACACTCCACTTTTATACTTAGCAATGAAAACTTTTTTTTTCTTCCCTTCCCTAGTAAAATTTTTCACCCTTTTTGCTTTAGGGTTGGCACTAAAGCTTTCTTGGGCCCAAAGGTGATTTTTTTGGGAGGGGCAAAACCCCTATAAAGGCTGTGATAATATGAAATGTTTCCCCGTTGGATGTTTTGGGAAACGACCGCGGTGGCTGGCTTGAAACAATGGCACCCACAGGACAAAATGAGGTGCGCTCAGACCAAAGTGGAGCGTTTTGTACGGGGAAAGAAAAGCGTGGTCGGGGGTTTTTAAAAACGCGTCGAGGGGAAAATTTTTTTCATTAAAAGGGATCGCTTTGTCAGATTTACGGTTTAAACGCCCCCGGCCCAAAGTCCACCTCTGTTTCCCTAACCCCCTTCATAAATGTTTACTTTGCTCACACTCCACAGCACGTCAAGTATTAAAAACCATTTGTCTCCATTCACTCCTATCAAACACGCTCACGCATGCCTGCGGGAAGTCCAAGCCCCTCGCACCAAAAACCTCCTTTACCCCTCCCTCCAACCTTTCCTAGGCCGACCCCTACCCCGCCTTCCTTCCACTACAGACTGATACACTCTTGAAGTCACTCTGTTTCGCTCCATTCTCTCTACATGTCCGAACCACCTCAACAACCCTTCCTCAGCCCTCTGGACAACAGTTTTGGTAATCCCGCACCTCCTAACTTCCAAACTACGAATTCTCTGCATTATATTCACACCACACATTGCCCTCAGACATGACATCTCCACTGCCTCCAGCCTTCTCCTCGCTGCAACATTCATCACCCATGCTTCACACCCATATAAGAGCGTTGGTAAAACTATACTCTCATACATTCCCCTCTTTGCCTCCAAGGACAAAGTTCTTTGTCTCCACAGACTCCTAAGTGCACCACTCACCCTTTTCCCCTCATCAATTCTATGATTCACCTCATCTTTCATAGACCCATCCGCTGACACGTCCACTCCCAAATATCTGAATACATTCACCTCCTCCATACTCTCTCCCTCCAATCTGATATCCAATTTTTCATCACCTAATCTTTTTGTTATCCTCATAACCTTACTCTTTCCTATATTCACTTTTAATTTTCTTCTTTTGCATACCCTACCAAATTCATCCACCAATCTCTGCAACTTCTTTTCAGAATCTCCCAAGAGCACAGTGTCATCAGCAAAGAGCAACTGTGACAACTCCCACTTTATGTGTGATTCTTTATCTTTTAACTCCACGCCTCTTGCCAAGACCCTCGCATTTACTTCTCTTACAACCCCATCTATAAATATATTAAACAACCACGGTGACATCACACATCCTTGTCTAAGGCCTACTTTTACTGGGAAATAATTTCCCTCTTTCCTACATACTCTAACTTGAGCCTCACTATCCTCGTAAAAACTCTTCACTGCTTTCAGTAACCTACCTCCTACACCATACACCTGCAACATCTGCCACATTGCCCCCCTATCCACCCTGTCATATGCCTTTTCCAAATCCATAAATGCCACAAAGACCTCTTTAGCCTTATCTAAATACTGTTCACTTACATGTTTCACTGTAAACACCTGGTCCACACACCCCTACCTTTCCTAAAGCCTCCTTGTTCATCTGCTATCCTATTCTCAGTCTTACTCTTAATTCTTTCAATAATAACTCTACCATACACTTTACCAGTTATACTCAACAGACTTATCCCCCTATAATTTTTGCACTCTCTTTTGTCCCCTTTGCCTTTATACAAAGGAACTATGCATGCTCTCTGCCAATCCCTAGGTACCTTACCCTCTTCCATACATTTATTAAATAATTGCACCAACCACTCCAAAACTATATCCCCACCTGCTTTTAACATTTCTATCTTTATCCATCAATCCCGGCTGCCTTAACCCCTTTCATTTTACCTACTGCCTCACGAACTTCCTCCACACTCACAACTGGCTCTTCCTCACTCCTACAAGATGTTATTCCTCTTGCCCTATACACGAAATCACAGCTTCCCTATCTTCATCAACATTTAACAATTCCTCAAAATATTCCCTCCATCTTCCCAATACCTCTAACTCTCCATTTAATAATTCTCCTCTCCTATTTTTAACTGACAAATCCATTTGTTCTCTAGGCTTCCTTAACTTTTTAAATCTCACTCCAAAACTTTCTTATTTTCAACAAAATTTGTTGATAACATCTCACCCACTCTCTCATTTGCTCTCTTTTTACATTGCTGCACCACTCTCTTAACCTCTCTCTTTTTCTCCATATACTCTTCCCTCCTTGCATCACTTCTACTTTGTAAAAACTTTTCATATGCTAACTTTTTCTCCCTTACTACTCTCTTTATATCATCATTCCACCAATCGCTCCTCTTCCCTCCCGCACCCACTTTCCTGTAACCACAAACTTCTGCTGAACACTCTAACACTACATTTTTAACCTACCCCATACTCTTCGACCCCATTGCTTATGCTCTCATTAGCCCATCTATCCTCCAATAGCTGTTTATATCTTACCCTAACTGCCTCCTCTTTTAGTTTATAAACCTTCACCTCTCTCTTCCCTGATGCTTCTATTCTCCTTGTATCCCATCTACCTTTTACTCTCAGTGAAGCTACAACTAGAAAGTGATCTGATATATCTGTGGCCCCTCTATAAACATGTACATCCTGAAGTCTACTCAACAGTCTTTATCTACCAATACATAATCCAACAAACTACTGTCATTTCGCCCTACATCATATCTTGTATACTTATTTAACCTCTTTTTCTTAAAATATGTATTACCTATAACTAAACCCCTTTCTATACAAAGTTCAATCAAAGGGCTCCCATTATCATTTACACCTGGCACCCCAAACTTACCTACCACACCCTCTCTAAAAGTTTCTCCTACTTTAGCATTCAGGTCTCCTACCACAATTACTCTCTCGCTTGGTTCAAAGGCTCCTATACATTCACTTAACATCTCCCAAAATCTCTCTCTCTCTCCTCTGCATTCCTCTCTTCTCCAGGTGCATACACGCTTATTATGACCCACTTTTCGCATCCAACCTTTACTTGTGTGTATATATATACACACAATTTATTCTAATAATTTTCTGGACTGGTGTGCACAGGTGATATGTAACCTTTATGAATACCCTTCATACAGCAGATACAGTTTCAACTAGTATGGTAAACCAACCATCCAACCCAAATACTGTAGCCATTATGAATAATTTCCACAGGTTGAGAACGAATATGGCAGCTACCCAGACTGTGATTTTGCCTATACATCACACCTGCGTGACTTGGTACGACAAGGAGTGGGAGATAATGTTGTCCTCTTCACCACTGATGGGGATGGTGCTAGCTACCTCAAGTGTGGTAAAATACCGGGAGTGTACAGCACTGTCGACTTTGGCTCTGGTAAGCTGACAAAATGTTTTTCCAATATCTGAAATACTGTACTCACTTTATTAATATAGCACAGTATAAATACATATTCACAAGAATAAAGTTTAGGAATTGGATGATATATTGGTAATTACACTGATTATTTCTTGAAGAAGAAAATTAAAGGTGAATACAGGAAAGAGTAAGGTTATGAGGATAACAAAAAGATTAGGTGATGAAAGATTGAATATCAGATTGGAGGGAGAGAGTATGGAGGAGGTGAATGTATTCAGATATTTGGGAGTGGACGTGTCAGCGGATGGGTCTATGAAAGATGAGGTGAATCATAGAATTGATGAGGGGAAAAGAGTGAGTGGTGCACTTAGGAGTCTGTGGAGACAAAGAACTTTGTCCTTGGAGGCAAAGAGGGGAATGTATGAGAATATAGTTTTACCAACGCTCTTATGGGGGTTTGTGAAGCATGGGGGGATGAATGTTGCAGCGAGAAGAAGCTGGAGGCAGTGGAGATGTCATGTCTGAGGGCAATGTGTGGTGTGAAAATAATGCAGAGAATTCGTAGTTTGGAAGTTAGGGGGAGGTGCGGGATTACCAAACTGTTGTCCAGAGGGCTGAGGAAGGGTTTGTTGAGGTGGTTCGGACATGTAGAAAGAATGGAGCGAAACAGAATGACTTCAAGAGTGTATCAGTCTGTAGTGGAAGGAAGGGGGGGTAGGGTCGGCCTAGGAAGGTTGGAGAGAGGGGGTAAAAGGAGGTTTTGTGTGCGAGGGGTTTGGGACTTCCAGTAGGCATGCGTGAGCGTTTTTTTGATAGGAGTGAATGGAGACAAATGGTTTTTAATACTTGACGTGCTGTTGGAGTGTGAGCAAAGTAACATTTATGAAGGGGTTCAGGGAAACCGGCAGGCCGGACTTGAGTCCTGGAGATGGGAAGTACAGTGTCTGCACTCTGAAGGAGGGGTGTTAATGTTGCAGTTTAAAAACTGTAGTGTAAAGCACCCTTCTGGCAAGACAGTGATGGAGTGAATGATGGTGAAAGTTTTTCTTTTTCGGGCCACCCTGCCTTGGTGGGAATCGGCCAGTGTGATAATAATAAAATAAAAATATTTCTTGAATAAAAACTATCAGAATAGGCAAAGGAATGATTCTGTATATGTACTAAAGGATTTTTTATGATGTTTTGGGAATCACTGTATGCGACATTTTGTTATTTGGAGGTGGGAAGTAGAGTGCCTGCACTCTGAATGGGGGTGAGAATGTTTCACTTTTTGAACTGTAGTATCGGCACGCCTCTGGGAAGACAGTGATGTAGTGAATGATGATGAAAGTGTTTCTTCTTTTTTGACTTGCTCTGCCTCAGCGGAAAATGGCTGTGTTAAAAAAATTATATAGGCTGTTTTAAACTTTCTTATTCCTACCACATGTACTAACTTATCATTACCCAAGGAAGATTTTCCTAAAATAATTATTTTATTTTATTCAAAAACCACAGTACCATTGAATTCTGATATAAAGCTAACTGTATATTGTCTTCAGATGAAATAACTGTTCCTAATTTTAACTTTTTAATTAATCTTTATTTTGCTAACCAAAGTTTATTATTAATACATTAAGTTCAGTTCATTATGACAAAATCATTAAAATATTTCTAAATATATGCCTTGCTATACTGTCATTTTTTAAAGGGGGAGATGCGAAGAAATCCTTTGCTGCCATGAGGCTGTTTGAACCTCACGGACCTCTGGTGAACTCCGAATACTACCCTGGCTGGCTTGATCACTGGGGTGAACCTCACAGTACTCTTGACTCTGAGGTAAGAACACTTGAGGTAACTAAGAAGTAAAAGTACTGCTTGATAGTGACAAAAGTAAGATAAACTAATAGAACCAGCTATCATTTTGGATTTTAAAGGGATGTGCAGGTCACCTAATCTCTCCAGATAAAATTTTGAAATTTATTGCTAGTAGGCAAACTGGCCAAGAAAAAGAAAAATTCACCATCATTTATTCACTCGTTGTTGTAGAAGTATGTCGACATCAGAGTTCTGACGACTGTCCCAAGTGTAACATCCTCACACATCCTTCAGAGTGCAGGCATATTACTTTCCATCTCCAGGATTCATAATGTTACCTTGCTCACACTCCAATAATAATAATTATTTCTACAAGTACATGTACAAGGTATAGAGGTCTAGCTGACATCAATGACATACTACTATATAGAAAGCACCTTGTTATGCAGAGCATTTTGGGCAACTTACGTCAATTTTGTCCCCAGGATATGACCCATACCAGTCGATTAACACCCAGATACCTATTTTACTGATAGGTGAACATGGACAACAGGTGTCTTAAGGAAACATGTCTTATGTTTCCATCCATTCCAAAGATTGACCCCTGGACCTCAGTCAGGCCATGAAAACCACTTATCACAACAGATTTAACACTCACAAGACTGTTGGATGTTCAAGCCCCCAGCACTCAAAACCTCCTTTACCCCTTTATCCAGCCTTTACTGGGATGACCTCTACTGCTCCTACCTTTCACCCAAGATTTATATACCCTCTTAGTCATCCTATTCTGCTTCATCCTCTCTAAATACCCAAACCACATCAGCAACATCTCTTCAGTCCTATACACAAATAACCACACATATATGAATGAGAGAGAGAGAGAGAGAGAGAGAGAAAAAGAGAGAGAGAGAGAGAGAGAGAGAGAGAAAAAGAGAGAGAGAGAAAAAGAGAGAGAGAGAAAAAGAAAGAGAGAGAGAGAAAAAGAGAGAGAGAAAAAGAGAGAGAGAAAAAGAGAGAGAGAGAGAGAGAAAGAGAGAGAGAGAGAGAAAAAGAGAGAGAGAGAGAGAGAAAAAGAGAGAGAGAGAGAGAAAAAGAGAGAGAGAGAGAGAGAGAGAAAAAGAGAGAGAGAGAGAGAGAGAAAAAGAGAGAGAGAGAGAGAGAGAAAAAGAGAGAGAGAGAAAAAGAGAGAGAGAGAGAGAGAGAGAGAGAGAGAGAGAGAGAAAAAGAGAGAGAGAGAAAAAGAGAGAGAGAGAGAGAGCTAGCTAGCTAGCTAGCTGATGATAATGTTTTGGTCTGACTTGGACTGAATTCTCCTGCCATTCAGGAGTTTGTGTTCCTGCTATATACTTTAACCACAAATACTGTCTTCACATACATCAGATCAGTGCCTAGCGACAATTTATTTTTTTGATGAGAGTAAGACACATGTGCAACATCTGGGTATCTTTATTGTAGACGTTTCGCCACCCAGTGGCTTTATCAATACAAATTCTAGGACATAACTTGAAGACAGTAGAACTATGTACAGAAGATGAGGTAATCAGTCCCTCAACCTAGGAGTAGGTGCGAACAGCACCTGGGTGGCGAAACGTCTACAATAAAGATACCCAGATGTTGCACATGTGTCTTACTCTCATCTTGTCGGTATTATATACCATTCGTACACAACTTGTCAGACACTGCAACATCATGGAATCTTAATTCTGAGGACATGTACATAACCTTCACGACTACGACAACTACCACTACAACTAACCCATCTCTTTGGGAAGGACCTACTTCCACTGGGGAATCCCGCCTACCAGTGAATTTGCCCTCGTCTGCTTCACCTGACGTTACTATATAAGCGCCAGGATTCTTTCTTCTGCTTCAGAATCTCCACGACTATGGTGCTGTTCGCACCTACTCCTAGGTTGAGGGACTGATTACCTCATCTTCTGTACATAGTTCTACTGTCTTCAAGTTATGTCCTAGAATTTGTATTGATAAAGCCACTGGATGGCGAAACGTCTACAATAAAGATACCCAGATGTTGCACATGTGTCTTACTCTCATCTTGTCGGTATTATATACCATTCGTACACAATTTATTTTTTTGTAGCAAGTTATAGTTATGATATTAACCTGGAGATATTCACTATGTAATACAGTACAGTAAACCATCTATTTAATGAACTAATTAGAGGGATCAGGTGGCCAGTAATGGCAATTGTGGTGGATAGGGAAGAAAATATTGTTTTGCTGTGATTTTAACAATAATGAACAATTCTGTGACCAAAGGACTTAGTCCATAGTTTCCAAATCTGTTGACCCAGCTGATTTTGTTATGTATTTTCAAAGTCCATTAAATGGAGGGTTTACTGTATTTTGGAATTCATTTATTCTTGTGATTTTCAAATGGTAGCATGCAGTATAATACATACCATGAGTATATCTAGTAGCAGGTGATATAAATAAGCATAGTCACTGCTTTACTGTACTTCAGGTTATTGCTAAGACTCTGGATGACATGCTGGCCTTGAATGCATCTGTCAACATGTATGTGTTCCATGGTGGCACCTCCTTCGGTCTGACTGCAGGTGAGTACCAAGTTATCAAAAATGTTACAAGATTTTGTTCACATTTTT